TGTCATTATTTCTTCAAATAGGTTTTCAATATCTTGCTCTCTCTCATCTTCTGGCACCCCTATAATTCTGATGTTGGTACGCTTGAAGCTGTCCCAGAGGCTCCTTATACTATCTTCATATTTTCGGATTCTTTTTTCATTTTGCTTTTCCAGTTGGGTGTTTTTTGCTTCTTCGCGTTTTGAATCTTTGACTTGATTCTTGCGCTCCTCTGGTCTGCTGTTGGGTGTCTGTATAATATTCTTTATTTCAGTCAGTGTATGCTTAATTTCTAGTTGGTTCTTTATCACAACATCGAGGGTCTCATTAGATTTCTTGAGGATCTCACTACATTTATCGGTGGTCTCACCAGTCTTTTCGAGGGCCTTACTAAGTTTATCGGCAGCTTCTAGACAGTTCTTGAGAGACCTTAAAAGTGTGGTTTTGAGCTCTATATCTTCCATTTCTGACATTTGCGTCCTGTTTCTTTGTCTCCGCATTTTTATATCTTGGTGCACCCCCTAGTGGTCTTTGTGCGCAGTCTTGTAGTTAAGCCTTGATTGTTGTCGGTAATACCAGGGGTGATTTGACCTCCAGGCTAACTGGCTATGAGAGTCAGCTGTGTCTGCAGTGGGAGAGCTTCTGTGCTGGATCTCTAGGGCGGTGCTAATCTAGCCTTTGCCTGAGGCTATCCGGCAAATGGCTCTGCGCAGGGCTTGGGCGGGGCGGGTCCCCGGGGATCTACAGGGCGGGCCGGAGCAAGCAGTTATGGCGGCTCTCAGTTCCGTCCCTAGGGGCTCTGCCTCTCAGAGTCCCAGCAACTGCTGCCAACCTCGGAGAGAAAGCTGCCCTCGAGTTCCGACCGAAGCCAGACAGTCCCGCTTCTCCCGTTTGAGTCTGGGTCCCTAGAGACTCGCCCGGATCTGGAGCTCAGAGTCTGAAACTCCCTCCCGATTGAAAACAACAACCGCACCCTCTGCCGCCAGCCCGCTCCGCGCGCACTCCGCACCTGAGTATTTCACTTCAGCACTGCGCCTCCTCTGAGTCAGGGTATGATATTCTCTTTCCTCCTAGTTGTAGAATTTCTACTCAGCCAGCCTTCCTGTGGTTCTGGATGATGTTCGTTCTGTCCTTTAGTTATATCTCTGAAGTGGTTGTTCGAGGCAGCAATCTCCGGCGTTAACCTATGCCGCCATCTTGGTTTCCTCGAAGATATCTTTTTCATTTGATCCCAAAGCACTCGATGCAAAGCTTCCATCAGAACTTTGTAGGTTTTTTAATATGCTGACCTAGGATTTAAAATTTTTAATTGCAAGTAATTATGTCTCTCCTTTCACAGGTCCCTGACTCACTAGCATTCTGTTATGCATTGAATATAGAAATCATCCTAACAAAAAGAAAGTAGCTTGTAGATTGGATGACTAGGCAAGTAGTTAATCAGTAGTTATATCAAATAGTAATCTCAAATAATTACATCAACTATTTTCAAGTAGTTGAAAAAATAGGACTCATAGGAAGAGGTAGTTTTGGAGAAAGTAAGTTCAGTTTTGGCTTTGTTGAATTCAAAGTACCTTGTGGAATGTCATAGGTAGAAATGTTCAGTAAGTTGTAGGAAATATTTGTCTGTGGTATGGAAGTTGGGGTCAGGTCAACAAGATGAAGGCCACGGTTTAAGTTATAAGAGTGTACATATAGGACCCGAGACAGATTATTGGGAACTCCATTATTATCATTTAGAATACTTCCAGCTGTAAGTAACAAAGAAAATCTAACTCAGACTGGTTAAGAATGAAGGGAATTTATTGACTTCTATGTCAGAAAATCCAGTGGTAGGGTGGGCTCCAGGGGGGTTTGATTAGGGTTCTGGCTCCATTTTTCTGTGATTATTTTTGTTCCACCACCTTCATGAATCAGCTTTCTTCTGAGTTTTGCTTTTCTCATGGAGGCAGAGTGATACCAGTAATTCCAGGAGTCTGTCAGCAAATTGCATATTTTAGGGAGAGAGAGAGAGAGAGAGAGAGAGAGAGAGAGAGAGAGAGAGAGAGAGAGAGAGAGAGAGAGAGAGAATGAGAATGAATGAATATGAGAATGGGAATGAATGAGAGAATCTGTGTTCCCGAACTCCTGGCAGAAGTCCTAAGCTTTGAGCTGGTTGATCAGTTTTGGGGGCGGGCATTATACAGAGAAGGGTTTACTAATTGGTTAAGATCAGTTGGTACTTACCCCTGGAAGTGGAACAGGGGTAGGCCTACGCAAAGAGCATGGCTGCTGTACTAGGAGAAAGGAGTGGGTGTTTGAGAGAAAAGCACAAAATTCACAAAAGGAACATACAGGGAAAGAGCCAGTGAGACAGAGAAGAGGTGAGAGAGACGGGAGGAGAGCCCTAGGGAGAATCGCAGACCCTGGTGGAAGAGTTTTGAAGAGGGAAAACTAAAATAGAGTCAATTCAGATAGCCATTGGATTTGCTAGGAGGTCATTGGTGACCGAAGAGTGATATGAAGCAGCGGGTATGCATGCACTTAAAAAAAGAAAAAAAAGAAATTAAGTGGTAAATAGAAGATGGCAGTTTAAGAAAGAACTGGATTAAGGGAGGCTAAAACAGAAACTTAAAAAAGTGGTTATGGGGGACTTTTTACCCATGTTTGCTGGATGAAGGAAATGATTTTAGAATTTGATTCAGATAGCTTGTTTGGTCTCCGCTCTAAAGACACCTTCTTGTATGTCCCTGGACAAGTCACTCAGTGTTTTGTCAGCCTCTCAATATTTCACAGGAACTCTGAAAGATGATAATACGTGAAAGAGGTTGGTCATCTAAACTATTACACAAATATTAGTTGGTAGTAAGCATATTGTTTATATAAACCATACCTTCTCATAAAAGAATGTAAAGTATTATAGAACTACTAGTATGTAGAGCTGAAAGGTATGAGACAACGAGGAGGGGGAGGGAGAGAAAGAGAATATGAATGAATGAATAAAACATGGTCCCAGTTCAGAAGTTGTTAATCCTCTTAGCATGGCCATGTGACTGCGCAGGGAAAAGCTCTTCATTTACTGCATCAATATTTTGTCAGGGCCCTTGTTGATTTGCATCTATACAGTTTCACTTTCCTTTGGAATGAGAAAAAAGGAACACTGTAGAGAACATATATTGGTTAGGTTATTAAGATGACTTTTACTTGATGTTGTTGCAAAGTTTAGTGATAATACTAAATATTTAATAGTAGCAGGTGCTGTCAATTTATGTCACTGGTGTATGATTGATTTTAGCTTTGGCTCCAAAGCCAGTGCTTTTAGCCAGTCTCAATCTAAAAGTCTTGGATCATATATTCTTACTGCTTTTTCAAGTTGGTAGACCTTGTACAGTGATTAAATACAATTTTATATTTGTATATTTCTGTTTCTTAGGTTAAACAGCGTCAGTTTCTATGCTTCATTTTAAGCAGCCTGGTGCTTTGAAGTATAAGAGGGAGAATAATAGTAATTACTTTGTAAGGTGATGGTGAAGATAAAATGAGCTTTAAAAATTTAGTAAACATTAATGGCTACAGTTATTAGTTCTTTATAAATACTTGATATATATGCGAAAACATCAGTTGAATGGCTACTTCCACATAACGCATTTGTTGAAAAAAATGTTGGGATTTAGTTTTGAATAAATTCAGAAAAATAGTAAGTTTTCTTAACTACAGCTCAGATTCCATGCTGGTCTCCATCATGGGGATGGCACTGTACACAGGATACGTCTTCATGCCTCAGCACATCATGGCCATATTGCACTACTTTGAAATTGTACAATGACCAAGAGGAGACCGGAAGCGAGAGGTTCCCTTGGGAAGAACCATCCTCTGAAGTTGGAACGAGACTTCATCAGATATCAGAAGAAACTCGACTAGATGTCCGTGTGACCAACCTTATGAATATAAGGACTAAAATTCATGAGTGGAACAGGAAAATAATCCTGACTCATGTGTTGTGTTCTTTATTTTTAATTTTAAAAGAGGCTCTTGTATAGTAGTTTTTGTCTATTTTACATTGTAGTTATTTGTAATTTGATATCAGTATTTTCTTAACCTTTGTGACTTTAAATATTACCCTGTGAAAGCTTTTCTTAATGTAACTTTGGGTACATTTTAAATTGCCTTCTATTTCTAAAACCCAAAGTCATTAGTTGGGCTTTACTGTTCTTGCTATTGTATGGCATATACATCTGCCTGGATATATTTCTACTCTTGACCAAAGTTTTGTAAGAACTGGGGCAGGGGGTGGGGAGGGAGGAGGGTATTTTATTGAGAACTATTTACAAAAGACTTATCTGTAAGTTTGAACTCAGGAGTACAGTTTTAGCTCTCTAGACTCTATAACAGCTTCTGCTTTAAAACTACTAAAGTGTTTCTTAACAATGAAAAAATAAGATCTTGCTAAAGTAAAAAATAAGGAACATTTTATCTTTTAAATATTAATTCTTATGTGGACTCATTTCCAGAAAACTTGGGGGTTATTGTGACAACAGGCGGTCAAGTAGCATTATTGTGTAATGCTTACATACCATGAAGTTTTTAATAGACAGTAAATCAGTTTCCTCTGAGAGTCATTACTTACAAGTACTTCTTTAAGTTTAATTTCTGATTGTAATGGGTGCTGTAAGTGCATTTGAACATTGCAATAAAATGTGATGAGATGAATTGTTAAAAGCTATATCAAAAAGAAAGGTAAACTTGGTTAAAATCCTTTCTTTCACTATTTGTATTATTTTTTTTAAAAAAACTTTTATTCCTTAAACGTAAAATGATTAATTTTTTGATGTAAACTCATTAAATTCAAAGAGAAAAATCAGCTGCTGTGGCAATGTGTTTTTTCCTCTGTGGTTAAATATTGATCTAGTATTTATATTCTGAATTGATTGCTGTGGACATATAAGCAATAAATATTTTAACATGTTTCTCAACATAAAAGTATTGCTAATTTAAAAAATTAGATATATTATTATTATTTGTTAATCCTCACCTGAGGATATTTTTTTTAGATGAAAAGACATTTTATTATTATTTTACTATATAACATAGTAGTGAATATATCTGATTGCATTTTCTCAAATGGCAAATGAAAACAGGACAGCATTTTACTGAAAACCTCAATATCATCTGTCTTGGAGGATTCAGTTTCCTACGACGTGTATGATACTGTCCGTAAGGATACCAACGGTGCTTAGTAGTAAAGAACATTTTGCTAAGTTGTTCTATCATGGGTCGTTGCTCCAAGTGTTCATCTTTTACTTCTAATCTGGTTTTCAGTATTTGATCCTGTGTTTCTTCATAATTATGCACAGGATCTGGCTGAGGGATAGGCTTGGTGTGTTCATACGGAATATCCACGGAAGGATGGTAGCAAACTATCGTCCTGCCATCAGATGTCAAAGCAAGTTCTAGTTTGCAATTATAGTCATCTAGAAGAGAAGAGTATGTGGATTTATGACAAACACAGTATAAAGTTCCACTTTGGATTGGAAATAAATGTTTCAAAATAGTTCTGTTTGATATCACCCATTTCACCGCTGATACGGCCATGGTGAATCAAGATGCTTTATCAGGTGGTATGGAAAAAGATTTGAAGAGAAAAATGCTTTTAAAATTTGCTTCTAGGCCAGCCGTGGGCAAACTACGGCCCACGGCTGAGTTGTATTCATACTGTCTCAAGCAAAATAATGATTATGTAAAAACAAAGTGGGGGAAAAGAGAGAAAGAGAGAGAAACATCGATGCAAGTGAGATAAATCAATCAGTTGCCTCCCGCGCGTGCCTGGACCAGGGCCAGGATCAAACCTGCAACCCAGCTATATGCCCTTCACCAGGAATTAAACCTGAGACCCTTCAGTGCTTCAGCTGACACTCTAACCACTGAGCAACGCCAGCCAGGATTAGACATATATTTTAATATGCTTTCCAGAATAAATTTTACCATTTAAAAAAAATGTAAGTATTGGCCCTAAATTTTTAAAAAAATTTTTTTTATTGATTTCAGAGGAAGGGAAGGGAGGGAGAGAGAGAGACAGAAACAACAATGATGAGAGAGAATCATTGACTGGGTGCCTCCTGCATGCTCCACACTGGGACTGGGAATCAAACTGTAACCTCCTGGTTCATAGGTTGATGCTCAACCACTGAGCTACACTGGCTGGTCAAAAAATGTAAGTTTTTATGGCCCTAAATTTTAAGGATTAGACTTGGGAAGTATTTTCTAGTCTGGAGGTAATGAGTAATGTATAAATTTTTGATATTTTTAAAGAGTCTATCATCACTATTAGGTAGGGATGGTGAGGGAAGAGAGAGATGTAATTAGTTTTGAAGTAGTTAAAAATAGTTGGATATGGTTATGTCTGAGTTGTATTCATACTGTCTCAAGCAAAATAATGATTATGTAAAAACAAAGAAATAAATCAGGGAAGCGTAATCTCACCAGCTGATTCAAGTGTCTGCTTTATTTGTTAGCAAATAACAAATGGGGAGATAATTCCACTTTATCTGTTTACTAGAGGCCTGGTGCATGAAATTTGTGCACTGGGGGGCGTGTCCCTCAGCCTGCATCATCTCCAATCTGGGACCCCTTGGGGGGTGTCCGACTGCTGGTCCCTGTGGGATTGGGCCTAAACCAGCAGTTGGACATCCTTCTCACAACCCAGGACTGCTGGCTCCCATCTGTTCACCTGCCTGCCTGCCTGATTGCCCCTAACCGCCTCTGCCTGCCAGCCTGATCACCCCTAACCACTCCCCTGCCAGCCTGATCGATGCCTAACTGCTCCCCTGCCGGCCCAATTGCCCCCAAAAGCCCTCCCCTGCTGGCTCAATTGCCCTCAACTTCCCTCCCCTGCCAGCCTGGTTGCCCCCAACTACCCTCCTCTGCTGGCCTGGTTGTCCCCAACTGCCCTCCCCTGCAGGCCATCTTGTGGTGGCCATCTTGTGATGACATGGGGGTGGCCATTTTGTGACCCCATGGGGGCAGCAATCTTGTGTGAGGGCATGATGGCCAATTTGCATATTACTGATTTTTCATATAGGATAAGAAGGTACAGTGGGGCCTTTACTTATGAGCTTAATTTGTTCCGTGACGGAGCTCGTAACTCAAATTACTCGTATGTCAAATCAAAAGTGAACGAGTGAGACACGTGATGCTGGGCTGATGTGGTGTTCACTGTGATGTTCGCTGCACCAACTAGCGGTGGGGTATCTGAAGCTGGCTCGTAACCCAAATTTTAGCTCACAACTCAAAGCAAAAAATCGGCTGAGAGACGGCTCGTATCTTGAAAAACTCGTTAGTCGGGACACTCATAAGTCAAGGCCCCACTGTATTTATTAAACAACTAGAGGCCCGATGCATTAAATTCATGTACTGGGGGGGGGTGTCCCTCAGCCCAGTCTGCACCCTCTCCAATCTGGGACATCCCTCTCACAGTCCAGGACTGCTGGCTCCCAACCGTTCCCTATGTGCCTGCCTGATTGCCCCTAACCCAGCCGTGGGCAAACTAAATGAATAAAACTAAAAAAAAAAAAAGACCGTACCCTTTTATGTAATGATGTTTACTTTGAATTTATATTAGTTCACACAAATACTCCATCCATGCTTTTTTTCTGGCCCTCTGGTCCAGTTTAAGAACCCATTGTGGCCCTCGAGTCAAAAAGTTTGCCCACCCCTGCCCTAACCACTTCTGCCTGCCAACCTGATCACCTCCTAACTATTCCCCTTCTGGCCCGGTTGCCCCCAACTGCCCTCTCCTGCAGGGCTGGTCCCCCCCAACTGCCCTTCCGTGCAGGGCTGGTTGCCCCCAACTGCCCTCTCCTGCTGGTTTGATTGCCCACAACTGCCCTCCCCTGCCAGCCATCTTGTGGTGGCCATCTTATGACCACATGGGAGCGGCCATCTTGTGCGAGGGCGTGATGGTCAATGTGCACGTTACCTCTTTATTATATAGGACTAGAGGCCCGGTGCACGAAATTCGTGCACGGTGTGGGGGGGGGCCCCTCAGGCCAGCTTGCACCCTCTCCAATTTGGGACTCCTCGGGGGATGTCTGACTGCCAGTTTAGGCCTTATCCTCAGGATCGAACCTAAACTGGAAGTCAGACATCCCTCTCACAATCCGGGACCACTGGCTCCTAACTCTTCACCTGCCTGCCTGCCTGATCGCCCCTAACTGTCCCCACTGCTGGCCTGGTAACTCCCAAATGTACCCCCTGCTGGCCTGGTCGCCCCCCTTTCTCCATCCCCACCAGCCTGGTAACTCCTAACTGCCTCTCCTGCTGGCTGGTCACCCAACTGCGCCCCTGCCAGCCTGGTCGCCCCTCACTACCCCCCCTGCCAGCCTGGTCACTCCCAACTGCTCCCCCCCCCCCCCCCCCCCCCCCCCGCTGACCTAGTCACCCCACGCAGCTTGCTGCTCAGTCGTTTGGTCATCCCTCACTAACCCCCTGCCGGCCTGGTTGCCCCGTGCAGCCTGTTCAGTCCGTTCAGTTGTTTCGGTTGCTTAGGCTTTTATATATATAGATTTTCCATGGGTCTCTTACGTTTCTGTATGTCTTGCAAGTGTAGGTACTGACTACCTTTACTCTGGAATATTTTCCAATGATGTTTGTATGGTGGAGAATATAGAGAAGAGATAGTGTCCCATCATAGGAAAAACAGCAGATTTGCTCAGAGCCTTGCAAAATAGAGAATGTCTTCTTCTGTAGCAAAGGGCATTAGAAAAAATTTTGGGTTTCCTGTGCGCAGGGTTCCTCTCCTGTAATGCAACCTTTTGTATGCACTGGTATCACTCGGCTCTTTGCATTGTCTTGTGGGAATTGGGGCAGAGGATCAGAACAAGAAAATGATACTTTGGCTGTTGCCCTGAGTGATAAAGTCCTTTGCTTCTGACCCTGGAATCTCATGTCTTCTGCCAGCACCCCGAAAGCTGTGCCAGACTAACTTGCTAGCCTGCAAGTAAGGTAAAATCTCAGACCCTTCACAGTTCTCGACAGTTTTTTTTTATACTTAAACTATGAAGTTTATCCTATCTAATAAAAGAGAAACATGGTAATTGGCGTACGACCGCTACCCTTCCCATTGGCTAATCAGGGCAATATGCAAATTAACTGTCAGCCAAGATGGCGGCCGGCAGCCAGGCAGCTTGAAACTAACATGAGGCTTGCTTGCTTCAGTGACGGAGGACTCCAACGTTCCCTGCCTGCCGCTGCAGGCCTCTGAGCTACAAGCAACTATGTAACAAACATAGAAGCTAAACAAAACCCCAGAAACCTGCTGGGGTTCAGCCAGCAGGATCGCAACATTGTAAGCAAAGGCCAGAAACCTGCTTTCAGCAGCGGAGGCCTAAGAGCTGGAGCCAAGCCTCAAAGCTAAAGCTGGCCCAGAATAAAAAAAGAAAAAAGAAAAAAAGGAGCGGTTGGGAGCTTCAGTCACCCCCAGCCTGAAAACAGCCCTCAGCTCCTCACCCAGACTGGCCAGGCACCCCAGTGGGGACCCCCACCCTGAAGGGTGTGTGACCAGCTGAAAACAGCCATCATCCCCTCACCCAGGCTGGCCAGGCACCCCAGTGGGGACCCCCACCCTGAAGGATGTGTGACCAGCTGCAGGCAGCCATCATCCCCTCACCCAGGCTGGCCAGGTACCCCAGTGGGGACCCCCACCCTGATCCAGGACACCCTTCAGGGTAAACCAGCCAGCACCCACCCATGCACCAGGCCTCTACCCTATATAGTAAAAGGGTAATATGCCTCCCAGCACCGGGATCAGCGTGACAGGGGGCAGCGCCCAAACCCCCTGATCGCCCTGCGGCTCTGTGTGTGACAGGGTGCGGTGCCCCAACCCCCCCGCCCCCACGGGCCCTGCTCTGTGTGTGATGGGGTAGAGCCATAACCTCCCCATCGGCCCTGCCCTGAGTGTGAGAGTGGTGGCACCCCAACCCCCTGATCGGCCCTGCTCTGTGCGTGACAGGGGGAAATGTCCCAACCCCGATTGGCCCTGCTCTGTGCATGACAGGGGGTGGCGCCGCAACCTCCCCATCGACCCTGCCTTGAGTGTGACGGGATGGTGCCCCAACCCCCCAATCGGCCCTACCCTGAGCGTGACTGAGGGTGGAATCACAACCTCCCGATCGCCCTGCTCTGTGCATGACGGGGCGGCGCCCCAACTCCCCAGTCGGCCCTGCTCTGAGCCCGACCAGGGGCTGCACCTAGGGATTGGGCCTGCCCTCTGCCACCCGGGAGCAGACCTAAGCCAGCAGGTCGTTATCTCCCGAGGGGACCCAGACTGCGAGAGGGCACAGGCCGGGCTGAGGGGCCCCCCTCTCCCCCGAGTGCACAAATTTTTGTGCACCAGGCCTCTAGTTAAATATAATCAATTAAGTAAATTCCGATTTTCCAGGTATGTGCATATGTGGTGTGTTTGTACTCGGTGAAGGTGGAGTTGTAAAAAATACACATTTCCGCAATGATGCTTCATTCGGATCCCTGGCACCAATTATGAATGGCCGCTCCAGCACTACTGGCTACTACGCAGAGCGCGCCACCCACCGTCCACCACGTTGGTATATCATGCAGGAAAATAATCTGAGAGATAAAAGCA